TCTGCAGGAGGCAGAAACTGAATTTAAATGGAACCATTCTCTAGTGTGACGACTTCCTAATACAATGCCAATTCCACCACAACTCCAGCATTCCACTAAGATGATTGTGGTCCTGCCCCACAATTATCTGTCTTCCCATTTTAATTTTTTTCATTCATTCAGCTCAACTGGGAAATAGCCTGCCTCAGCATTGTTTATATCCAATTAGAGCCACAACCACTGGAATTAGCACCAGTCCAATGCAAGATATGGCCTCAGTGAAACTGTCCAGCTAAATTTCAGACTGAAATGAACAAGCAGCTGTCACACCACAAGCAAGGGCAGAAGTTGAACTATCTAAGGACTTCTAGTGCCAAGACACAATATGGAATACCAGAAATGAATGAGTGTTATCTGAAGTGTTCTCTGGAAGTTAGAACACAGCAGTAGCACTGCAAGTGAGGAAATATAAAGATAGGAGCAACTGTACTCCATCAGATGAAAGTCAATTTTAATGCAGCATGTTGTTTCCAATGTGAATCAATCAGATACTTTTGGAAAGTCCACAAGTATGGAAACAAGGCAATAGCTTTCTTTCCCTACTGTCTTCCAATATCTGAAATTCAGATCTATACTGCCTCTAATCATAATAAACAGTTTCCATGTTGCTTCAAGCTTTCTGTACTGCCTCATCCTCTTCTTTTTCTAGGCCAGTGGTTCTCAACCTGTGGGTCCCCAAGTGTTTTGACTTACAACTCCCACAATCCCTAACCACTGGTAAACTAGCTGGGATTTCTGGGAGTTGATGTCCAAGACAACTGGAGGGCCAAAGGTTGGGAACCAATGAGCTAGAGGAAGTGAACGAAGTGCACTACAAGAGAGTGATTGATATGGATATGGACCCTTCCTGTGTCAATCCAGGTGCAATTTGTTCTCTTTCTCTAACTGGAAAACAAGCCACCAATATAGTAGAAACTGATAATGTGCCCCACTGTTATTACTAAACTTATTTCCTTATGAATTTCACCACTTCTCAAAGTATATCATACAACATAAATCATTTAGAACATTTAATCTTTTAAAAATTATTGTAAACCACCTTGAATCCCATTTTGGGAGAAAGGCAGGGTATAAATCCAATATATAATAATTGTTAAACATGGGAAATGTTTAGTTTTTTATCATTAGTAGCACAAATATATCTTTAGATTCCTTAGAAGTAATCTTCCCAAGAAAACCCCATAATAAGTTCACTATACATTTGAAATGACTTGAAATCACACAGTGACACATCTTTAACAAATAACTTTTCAAAGCCGTTCACAAAACTTGTTTTAGGAATCTATCCAATGATTTGAATGTTTGTTCTATGTTTATGAGACTAGCAGTGTTTTCTGAGACACTCATGTAACTATTGAACTTGGTAGTCATGTTCAGAAACCTGTCTTCTAAGCATAATGACTATCATTAGCAGTAGTAGTAGTAGTGGTAGTAGTAGTAGTGGCAGTACCAACAACAACCTTAGATTGCCATTCTGTTAGTGACTTATACCAACATAAATTCAACTGACACAAACACAAATCATTTTTGGTCATTGTGGAGGTTGGAATTCTCTACCACCTATATGCAATACCCAGACTCCTCTTTTAGCTGCTGTAACTCCTACAAGACACCAATTCATTGGCTAGTGGAATATTGCAGATTGGCAAACATAATCCTCCAGGACTTCCAGAGGTCTATTATTATTATTATTATTATTATTATTATTATTATTATTATTATTACCTCACTTTATCTTCCCCGAAGGGGACTCAAAGTGGCTTAACATAAAAGCATCCACATAACCATTTAAAATATACAAACATATGAACATTAAAACAGGATTAAATATAAACAGTATTCAAACAATCCCAGATAAAAACCATTAAAACAAATTCAAAGTTAAAAGCCATAGCACCCCCTGAACTGATCTTTAAAACCTTCATCTTTAAATGCCTGCCTTAATAAAAAGGTTTTTGTCTGCCACTGGAAGGACATCAGGGAGGGGGCGATTCTTACTTCCCTGGATAGGGAGTTCCAGAGTCGAGGGGCAGCCACCAAGAATGCCAACTCTCTAGTACCCACCAATGGGGCTTGAAATGGAGATGAGACTGAGAGAAGGTTCTCTCCTGAAGATCTCAGGGCCTGAGCAAGTTCATACAATAGAATGCGGTCAGCCAAATAGCCTGGGCCTAGACCATCTAGGGCTTTAAAGGTCATGACCAGCACTTTGAATTGTGCCCAGAAACAGACTGGCAGCCAGAGGAGCTGCTACAACAGGAGGGTTGACCACTCCCTGTTGTCAGCCCCAATGAGCAATCCGGCTGTAGCTCTTTGGACCATCTGAAGTTTCTGAGCACTCTTCAGAGGCAGTCCAGCATATAGCATGTTACAGTAATCCAGATGCCATGCAACTTGGGCATGCAAGATCTGGCTTCTCAAGGAATGGGTGCAGTTGGTGCACAAGTTTCAATTGTCCAAAGGCCCTCCTGGCCACCACTGATACCTGGGCCTCCATGTTTAATGCTAAGTTCAGGTGGACTTCAGGGGGAGTGTAACCCCATCCAACACAGGCTGAATCCTTATTCCCTGATTTGTCTTCCAGCTGATCAGGAGTACCTCTGTCTTGGCTGGATAAAGTTTCAATTTGTTTGCCCTCATCCAGTCCATTATTGATGACAGGCTCTAGTTTAGGGTCAGAACAGCTTCCTTGTCATTTGGTAAAAAGGACTCCAAAAGTCTGAAAGACCTCTCCCAATGGTTTCATGTATATGTTAAACAACACAAAATGGAACCATGAGGAACCCCACAGGTCAACAGCCTGGGGTTCGAACAGGAGTGCCCCAGCACCACATTCTGGGTACGGCCCTCCAGGAAGGACCTGAGCCGCTGTAAGACAGTGCCTCCCAGTCCCATCCCAGATGGGATGAGATGACCCAGAAAGATACCTTGGTTGATGGTATTGAAAGCAACCTGGAAGTCTAAGAGGGTGGCTCTGTTGTGGTGCACTAAGCTGTAGGAGTGTACTTAGATACTTCTCTGCTCTACCCTCACTCTCCATCAACCAGTTAATTGGTATTTTATGTAGGAACCACAGCATATAAAAGGTTCACCAAGGTGAGACGGGATACATTCTGTAATTCTGCATGTGTGTAACTTTATGACCAATCTCCCAGTCCATGATGATAGCTTTTATATTTCCCAAGGAGGCCAAGATAGTATACATGGCTTTTTCCTGTTTCCATCATAATAGCCACAATCCTGTGAGAAAAGTTAGGTTTTGAGATAACAACTAACTCAAGGTTAATTATTAAATTCATGACTGAGTGAGTATTTAAATCTGGGTCTTCCCAGTCTTCGCCAATTCTCTATCTCCTACACTATGCTTGGTTTCTCATAGGGTTTAACATTTTTGTCCCATAAGTAATGTAAGTCACAGCAGAAAAAAAATAACAGATGGAAGGCCGAAAGCCCATGAAGATGCATCTGACAGCCGATGATACTCGCTATACCTCAAGAAGACATACTTTACTAACACTGTAACCAAATAGACATAAGAAATCCTGAAGCATTAGTTAATGGTTATCCAGTTTAGTATCTCATAACTCTCAAATGAAAAACTGTCATTCTGAGTAATAAAATGGAAAACACAGTAATAGCACCAAAATATTTGCCAAATAGACAACAATCAACAAACTATTAACACAGGTCTGTTGACTTTAGCAAACGGAATGTGATAGAACAGCTGTTAGCTTTAGCCTTCCCGTGAAGAAAACCTTTGTGAGTCACTTAGGGGTTTATGAATTAACAATGTTTTCCTCATGGCTAGCACAAACACATGGATTTGTTCAACATTCCTCCTTGCTTAGCATATATTTAGATGATACAGCTATGCATTGACAGATCACATAATTGAAGGCAATATAGGATGTTCTGGCTTCTGGGAACCCACAAAATTATTTCCCACATATGATAATAGATATACGTATTTACAAATAACTGCAAAAAAAAAAAGATCCCATCCCTCATATGCATTATGTTATACAGCTGAAATGAAGTAGGTTTGGTGTAATGAAGAGCAGAATTTGAATTTTTTTTTACACTGTACCTCCCCAAATTTCCAAGACCCCAAATTGTTTTTCCAGTTTTGGATTACTGTATATACTGATCAACTCTGGGTTCTAGTTTTTAGCTCCCACAAACCTGAGATCTACCCATACCTACCTTAAACTGGATCTACACTGCCAGGACCCAATCCCAGGTTATCTACTTTGAACTGGATTATATGAGTCTACACTGCCAGATAATTTAGTTCAAAGCAGATAATCTGGATTTTATACGTTGGATGAGCAATGGTTGGATAAGCGAGACTCTACTGTAGTTTCAAACATAGTATTCAAAAGAAGGAAGACCCTTAATATTCCAATTCATTGGGGGGGGGGGTTAATCGAGAAAAAGGTTTGGATAAATGTTTGTTTTCTTTTGAAGTGTCAGGTGTTCTTCAATGCCAATGGCTGGATGCCAGAATTGATGTCCCAAATAGTCTCAGCTAAAACACAAAACTTCTTTTCTACTGGGCTTGATCCAAAGATGCCAACAAGAGAGTTGTAGTTTGGTGAGGAATGAGCACTCTTTGGCAAAGACGGCTGAAAATCTTGTAAAACTACAACCCCAATTATTCCATAGCAATGAGCCATTGCAGTTAAAGTGGTATCAAACTGCATTAATTCTACAGTATAGGTACACCCTCTGTGCTTTTCATTAGACTACTATACCCTTCTCCCTTCAGGTGTCTTGGGTTGCAACTTCCAGCATCTTCCAACTAGCATGGACTGTTAGAGATGGTGGAAGCTACATCCCATATATCTGGAGAGTGCCCATTTGGGGAAGGCTGAACCAATGTCTGCCACTGCAAAGATTAAGTTGCAATGTCTGCTACTCCAGTCAATAGATGAAGGCTTCAAGAACAGATGTTGCCTTACCTGGTTTGCACATCTGGATCATTTCAGAGCATGATGCCAGAACAGCCTCTACCTGGAGATTGTTCTGTCACCTGAGTGGTGGAAGAGGGAAGTACTCTTGAAAGGTTCTCTTTAATAGAGCCATACTGTTGAATGTCACGTTCCAGACAGGCAGCATTTCCATGGGATAGTACAAAAGTAGACTGCATGCTGTTGCTAAGCAACAACACATGCCAACTTAACTTGAATGGAGGCCAATGGAATCAATAGAAACCAAAGGGCTTAGGAGGAAAAAGAAGACTCGTACCCAGAATACCAAGTTCTGCCCTCTGTAACGGTCATTTGGCAACACAGCCATATTGTACTTGCTGGCCCTGGACTCTATACAAGTATGCAGTCACTCTGCCAGTTATTCTAATCCTGCATTCAGTTACACTGATTGATAATGGCAATATGTTAATTATAGTATTTGTTCAAGAAATGTGAATTCAGCAAGGAGGAACACATTGCTGCACAAAATGTTCTACTCACTCCAATATGCACCCACCCACTTATTTTCTTTCCTGTTTGAATATTACAATCCACTTGTCTGTCACAGCACAGACTTTTTTTAAAAAAAGAATCAACTTGTGAAGTGGCCTTAAAGACATTACTAACACAGTTTTGCTTCAATGAAGCATGCATACACACAAACACACGCATGATATAGATGCAGATATAGCCACGTTTGTTTTAACATTTTGTGAAGATTCACAAATTGTGTCAGGAATGTTTCATAATATAAATGCATTAGTTTGAATGAAATACAGGAAATATTGGTAAATGTTAGGAAAAGGTATGTATTATTTTCTAAATGGGCCCTTCCACTCAGACATATAGCTCAGAATATCAAGGCAGGTAATCCACAATTTCTGCTTTGAACTGGATTATCTGAGTCCACACTGCCATATAATCCAGTTCAATATGAATTTTATACAGCTGTGTCAAAGGGGTCAACATCCATAGCAGCATCTAAGGCCACTTCTACACAGCTGTATAAAATCCAGATTATCTGATTTGAAGTGGATTATCTGTAAGTGTAAAATCAGATAATTAAATTCAAAGCAGATCATGATATCTGCCTTGATATTCTGGATTGCATGGCAGTGTAGAAGAGCCCTGACTTTCCCATCTATTTTGACACAAGAGGATGAAATTCGATCTCTAAATAATTAGAGACAGCAGAAGTAGCAAGAGATGAGCTCAGCAAGAGAAGCATAAGTAATGCTCAACATGGGCTAACTCCATTCATACCATGTTAGGGCCCTTCCATACAGCCATATAACCCAAATATCAAGACAGATAATCCACAATATCTGCTTTGAACTGGATTATCTGAGATCACACTGCCATATAATCCAATTAGATGTCGATTTTATACAACTATGTAGAAGGGGCCTAAGTCAGAGCCTAGAAAGACACTCTAAAATAATAACTAGCCACTGGTGTAGTTCCAAGGTCAAGTAATTGGTTAACATTAGTTGAAAWTTTGAAGCATTTCTTTACATTTATGTTTCTTGAAAATAACAACATAAAATAACTAAAATCTTTCATAGCTTTTTGAAAAATCTGTATACTTCAAGATACTTATTGATTTATGACAAACTATAAATAAGAGGACCCCCCCCCCCCCCCCCATTGTTAGCAGCCTAGCTCAAGTCTTGCAAATCCAGGCACATGTTTTCTGTTATTATATAGACCTATAATATGGTCTTCCCCTTTCCCTACTTACTTTTGCCTTATCAAGCATTATTATATTTTCCAGTGAGTCATCTCTTCTAATGATATGGTCAAAGTGTGACCACCTCATTTTGTCATATTGGATTCAAGGGAGAGTCCAAGCTTGATTTGCTCTGGGACCCACTTATTTATATTTTTAGCAGTTCAGGGTATCTGCAGAACTCTTCCCTACTACCACATTTCAAATTATTTTATTTTTTCACTTCACTGATGTGTTTTTCCTTCTTTTACCTTCTGTATACCACCGTTACACAATAAAAAATTATTTACAAAAAAATCACTGTTTGGTTTTCACAACTATTCACCACCATACATAAAAATGGGAAATACAATGCAAGGACCATCCTAACTTTAGTATTCAACTATATGTCTTTATGCTTCAGGATTTTGACTAGTTCCTCCATAGCTGACCTTCCATGATCTAGGGTGCATCTATACTGTAGAATCAATATAGTTTGACACCACTTTAACTGGTATGGAACCATGGGAGTTACAGTTCTACAAGATATTTACCCTTCTCTGCTAAAGTCTAATGCTCTAAGGACATTTGCCTCCTAGCCCAGCCCTCTGATTGTAGCACTTTCCCTGGCTCTACTTAGGATTCATTGCACTTAGTAATTATGAACCGAACTCAGCATTTATTTGCTCAGCCATTATATTGCTTTTAATTGTTTTTATAATGTTATCTGATTGTATGTTTACTGATGTTTGATATTGTTTGTTTTTCGATGCTTATTTTAACCTGTTTTGTTGGGCATGGCCCTTTGTAAGCCGCCCCGAGTCCCTTTGGGGAGATGGAGGCGGGGTATAAAAATAAAGTTATTATTAAAGGTATTATAAAGGCTGCTGGCATCTCTCCAAATTACAAAGTTTATGATTCCATAGCACTGACAGAAGTCAGGCCTTCAGGATAAGGTGAGGGATTCCACACATAAATGCCTCCAATTATCAAAAAATAATCCCACATCTGAGAAAAGCTACTACATGAAGAAATGTAGCTAGTTTTCTTCACATGTACAGGTAAACCATTTGTAAGTCCAAGCATACATGCGGCTGTTTTCCCACATTAATGCCCTGATTTGCACTTAAGGTGATACTTATTACAGGCAGCCTGGGAGAAATGTTACCCAGCTTTTATTTGCATTTTTAAAATATTTTTTTCTTCACACATCAATGAGAAAAGCTCCAAGAGCATCTTACAAAAATCAGTAATCTAGAGAAGCCAAACCAACACAAGAAAAAGAGTTTAGACGGAAGGTGAGAGAAGGCATCATGGTAGAATCTATGACCCAAATGTTCTCTGTTCCTGGATAGGAACATTGATTCTGCATCCAATTGTACTCACTGTTGCACTGCATCTTACACTGTTTCTAAGATGTTTTGTTTGTTTGCTTAGAGAGATGTTTTTCTTGTCTCCTTTTATTATTGTGTTCGTGAGGTCCTCTTTTACTCTTCTCTTCTGGGAAAGATGCTTTTGTAGTATCTCTTCTGCTGGTCTTTGGAAAATGAGATGCCATGACTGAGGCTCTTTCTACACTGCCATATAATCCATATTTTCTGCTTTGAACTGGATTATCTGAGTCCACACTGCCATATAATCCAGTTCAAAGCAGATAATCTGGTTTTTATATGATAGTGCAGAAGGGGCCTGAGAGAGGAATATTAGCAAGCCACCTTTCTTGAAAAAAATCTTGTATAGCATACTGAACAAAGAAAATGGTTTGTGAGTTTTTGTCTTCCAAAAATATTCATCTAGTTCTTCTCTGTGTCCCACTCAACTCCTCCCTGCATTTCTGTGTGTATTATGTATTATGAATGTGCACCTTGTTTCTAAAACAGCTAATTTCTATCAAACCTACTTTTTCATTCATGATTTGATATGATATATTGTTTAGAGAAGCTAGCATTGCACCAGCTGATAAAGATCTCTAATGAGGACTGGTTTTTTTGTCTTTATTACATACGTAATAGATGTCTATAACAGAACTATTAAGTATTTAATGCTATATTGTATTCACTGATTTACTGAAGTTCCACATTGGGCCCCAATTTCAAACTCCAGCAATCCTTCTCCCCAAAGGGGCAAACATTTCTTTTGGAGTGGCAGAAAGGCAAGGGCAACATGGCAGCCTTCTTTTTGGACTTCACTGGTCTTTGTCACTTTGTGTTAGAAAATTTCTAAAATCCTTAAATTAAGGGTTTTTTTGACTGAAACAGACAAGCCATTGTCACTATATGACATGGTTGACTAGAGGTGATTTTATGTGTCAACATATATTTGTGGCTTGACAATTCCACCTCCTCAAAGTTGTGTTTTTATAAAACCTCTTACGATAAAGACAGATGTAACATTTGAAGTGTGGAGAATGTGTCTGAAGTTCAAGTTTCCCAGCACATGTGTTTACAGAGCATATTGTATGTATTGAAACAATGCCTTCCATGTTTACAGTATTTGTTTAAATTCATCTTCATTTACTTCAACATCTCACAATAGATTTCTCTTATTTTATTTTTAAGGGAATATTTTCATCTCACTAATAATTTAATGCTACATATAATTACCAATAAAGTGGTAAATTTCTTTGATTCCATTTTTTGGGAAATTGGCAAAGAACAGGCTGTGTAGTAAACCTGATTCTCTTCACTAATAATCCAGAGTTGAACAGATGAAACTCTCATTCCATTGTCACCTTCACAGTTTGCCTCTTCGTGACATGAGGCTCAATTAATAGACTGACACACAAGTACTTTTAATTCTTCAAGTAGCTCTTTTCATTACAGCATATACATCAAACCCTATGAGCAGAGCTATAAAGCATGTCATGTTTAAACCTCTAATAATGAAATTTGTAGGGATCAAGTTAGCATCTGTAACATATGAGGGTCTGCTGAGATAGTTCACAAAGCATTGGAAGAGAAAGATGAAGGTGATGGTGACAGCTGATTCTTGTTTAAAAGCAACTTCACAGAAACAAACAAAGATAGCCTAGCACCAGTTTTCAACAAAATGAGCCTTCCAGGCATAGATGTCAATGTACCAGAGTCTTCAAAGCTGGATACAAGTTGTACATATACAGTTGGCCCACTATATCTATGGATTTGGTATCCATGAATCCAATTATCCACTGCTTGATTTTTTTAAATCCAAAAGACAAATTTTGACCTTTGCCATTTTATCTAAAGGGCACCACTTTATTCCGATATTATATATAATGGGACTTAAACATCCATGCATTATAGTATCCATGAGGGGGTGGGGGTGATCCTGAAACCAAAACCCAACAGATACTAAGGGCCCAATGTATAACAATTCTTAATTTACCAGATTCTGATAATACCTTTTCTATACAACTAAAAATTGACAGTAAGGAAATAAAATGTTTGGTAGGAG